GACCCATTTAAACTGTTATGTGTATGGACACTTATTGCTATTGTATTATTTTATTCTACTGTTTTCAGTGCTTATAGCATTGTTTTTAATTTTAGGTTTATGAATTTTATGATTTTTTCCATTTATATTTTTAAAATGCTGATTTAGCAAGCTGTCATAGGTAAAAATCGATTGCTATTTGAGAGGATGTGGAGTTTAAGCCAGCAAGAAATATTAAAGATGTTTATGAATATGAAGAGGTAAAGAATATATTTAGAAATAAAAAGATGGTAAAAACAAGTGAGCAAATTCAGCTTTAGGTTTTTATTACTAAAGAACAAAATAGGATATAAGAGGGAAGAGAGGATGAATTGGGTGAAATTAATAGTGCAAAGAAATTGGCGATCATGAAGTAAAGCCTTTGGGAATATAGTGGATTGCTATTGGATATCCTTTCATACAGCAAGCTGAACAAATTCAGAAATAAAATTAAGAGAAGGTAAAGCCATTTTCAAGGGTCACCTCAGACACTATTTTAGATGGGAATCAAGAAGGAAAGAAATTAAAGTCTCATATAATATGTCTTCCAATCCTTTACATAATAGAAATCTGATACATGAACAGAATGGAATAAGCTCATCAGAACCCTGCTGTTTAGATCTTATGAGTAATTATTAACAGATGACAGAAAACAGTGCTATGTTTGTGGTGATTAGCAGTTGTATGCTAGATCATCTGAGGGGTTTTTTTTTCTGCACCTATATTTTTGAGAGACAAATTGTTCAAGATGTTGATGTTGTCTGAGCTGTGTTTGAACAGTGTGTACCTATGGAAGGAGAATGTATTTGTCAGTACCATATGTTATTCTGTACAATCACTCATTTTTATTCCAGTGGTATTTCAGTCTGATAGTTCTGAAGGCATCAGATGGACAGCAGTGTGTTAAATTGTGGGAGAAATTTCATTCCAGTCAGTGACTTGCTTCCCATTTTCCAGTGGCTATTGATTTTGAAGTTTTTAATTATCTTTACTATTTCTTTTATCTGTATTCTTCTCTCGTCTTGCTGAGAGGAAGCGGCTTTACCACAAACACATATTATGTTTTAACTATGAAAGGGAACTTGAGTTGCAAAAAAACCCCAAAAACAAAACATAAAGCAGAAGCAAGATTCTTAAAGCTAAATTAATCACTAAAAAAATGGAAAACAACTGTTTTACCATGTCAACAAGAATGAGTTAGGAATTGTTTCCTGTTTTTTTTTTTTAATATATAAAGTAGGCTTTCAGGTGTAGTGTGAAGGATTTTTCAGAGATAGTATATTACCTTTTCTATCTAACCAAAGCTGGCTTATATTATTTATTATTTGTCAGTATTGTTTGACTGGGATGCTCTAGTGCTAATGTAGAGATTTAATATACAGATGCAACTTTACTGCCTCAGACAGTATGGGTACATGTATGTATTCTGAAGAAACTTTAAAAATAGGTTGATTTTTCACCAGATTTCAAATAGAATATGGAATGGTAACTTTCACAAAATACATTAGTGCAAACTAAACATCTCTGCTCAAAGCATTAAAACAGCTGCATCTTTTGCAGGTCTTAGCATGACATGGGATTGCCAGTAAAATGGTTGTGTGTGCAGAAATACTGCAGAGCAGCAAATATGAGCTTGCAGAGAACATGCATAGAAGTGCTTTGTTAGTGCTCCCATGTATTGTGAAATACCTCTTTGAAGGCTTCGTGTAGCCCTATAAAATAATAGTGATATTGAGCAAGTGTTCGATGATAGCATCCAATTAAAGAAATAGTTCTTTTTCGGTGTAAATCTTTGAATACTTTCAGAATTCCAAAGGCCAGTTTGAGATGCATTGTGTTTCTTCTTGGCACACTCTGTTCTATTAATCATTTTCTAAAAATAAACAGCTTTTTTCATGTCTAAGAACAAAAAGCTCATTTCTTAAACTGTCAATGCAGAGAAATTTGCTCCATTACTGTTACTGTACTAAAAAGAGATTGAGAGGTAACATTGATTTACTAGTGCTTGTTCTTCTCTTAATCTTAGTAAAGCTTAAGTGTGCTTTTCCTTATTTCCCAGTAGCACCTGTTGGCTCTTTAACCCTAATTACTACTATTGTAATAAAATGAATGTGAATTAGTGACACTATGTCAGTAATGAAGCAAAATTTGAATATGATTGCTTCATTTAGCTCATATTGTTCCTAGGATACTATCATTTTAAGTGGGTACTGGAATGCATGGATCAGTCTTGGACAGTTACAAATCTATGTTGTATTCTGAATAGCCTAAGAGGAATCCTGAACATATTTATACAAACTTCATTATCATTCAGTCCACAGTATATATATGCTACATATATATTTTTTAACATGACTAACTGGAGTTTAGAGTACTGCCTATGGGGTCTAAATATGCAAGGTTTTGCTTACAGTCCTCTTTTCTAACAGTAGTGAGGTTTAACCCACTAGGTACTACCATTAGGTATTACCCCAGGAACACTGTAGGAACTCTGGTGTTAGCAGTGACTCAGATATGTACATACATAAGTTGGTTTTGATGTTTATTTTATACTTATGTTTCTTTCTTCCCCTCCCCCTTATTTCTATCTTCCTTTTTTTCTTTTTTCTTTTACAGATTGACTATACGGGAATAGACCCAAATAGTCCCTGCAATAAATGTTTAAATGTATCTTGGAATGACCCACCCTGCCACTGCGTCATTAACTTCACACTGGATCAGTCTTTTGAGGTATATTACAGTCTGTCTGTCTGTCTGTCTGTATATCTTTGTCTAGTATGCTACTTGCACCCTTTCCTGGAGAAAGAAACCCTGGTAACAGTTGCATCTTGACATCTCCTGGTAATATTATTGAAATGCACTTTATATGAGACTGCCTTTGAAAACTTCTTAGAAGCTGCAGTTGGTCCAAAATCCAGCAACCTACTTGTTGGCACTGTTTGTACATAACTCCAGTGCTTTGGAATTTGCATACTAGCAGGATGTCTGGTATAATTCAAAGTGCTGGTTTTGACCTTGAAAGCTGTACACCTGTAAGGACTGTCTACTTTAAGTGGATCCTGTCTATCCAGTGCGCATGTCTCAGATTGGGATACTTCCTCATGTGAGATCAAAGAATGCAAGATCACCTAGTTTTTCAGCACTGGCACCTACTGTATGGTAGAACCTTATAAGAACTCTGAATGGCTGTATTGCTCCTGACCTTTAGATAAACCTTAAAAACTGAACTTTCAAGAGAGCATTCAGTTAAGATCAGTCATTAGTACACTTTTTATTTTGATGATAGTAATTTATGAGAGGTAATTTTAAGGATTATTTCTGTATTACTATTATAATTATTTTGTTTTTTTATTGTACACTGCTGTTTATTTCAATTTATATGGCTACCCCTCTCACCAAAGCAACTTTGGGCAGTGAACAGAATTTAGGATTAAAGCAACAATATAAATGACTGTAAAAAATATACAACATGTAATCCAAAGAAAATAAAATGACAGCCAAGGGCAAAAAACCCCTCAAAGTAATGACTAACCACTGCCATGAGCCCACATGGAATGTGGAGGTGTATACATAAAGTAAATGCATACAGTCATATGAAAAAGTAAGTACACCCCATTGAATTTTTTTGACTTTTTCAACATATTTCAACATACAGATATTTGATCTTCATTTTAACAATATTGAGAGATAAAGGGGATATAATATAACAATATCAATAACATGCACCATTTACATTTTGTAGTCCATTGTGTGATTTAAAGACAAATAAATGCAAATTTCATATACGGAAAAAGTAACTACACCCCTACGTTTATCACTACCTCAATTGCCTAAAATTAGAATCAGGTGCAAATGATTAGAAAATCTTTAGAGAGGATCTGGGAGGAGACTGTCTTACTTAAACCTCAGACATTTAGTTTAATTTGCTCTTTGTTGAAGCATGTGGTATCACCCTGCCTAGATTGAAAGAGCTCTCTGAGGCCTTCAGAAAGAAGGTTCTAGATGTCTGAGTCTGGAAGAGGATTTTAAAAGATCACCAAACAACTGGGCATCAGTCATTCCACTGTCCAGAAGATCATCTACAAGTGGAGACAATTTCAAACAACTACCAGTTTGCCCAGGGCAAGCCATCCCAGCAAGCTCAACCTGAGAGCAGGACACAAGATGCTGAAAGAAGTCTCTAAGAACCCTAGAATTTCTTCACGTGACTTACAGGTAGCTCTTGCCACTATTGATGTCAAAGTATATGACTCTATCATTAGAAAGAAGCTGCACAAATTAGATCTACCTGGGAGGAAATCTTTGCTGTCCAGAAAGAACATCAGGGCAAGACTAAAGTTTGCTCATGAACATCTAGGCAAAGACCGGGATTTCTGGAAAAATTTGCTCTGGACAGATGACGCAATGAAAGAATTATTTGGCCACAGTACTAGAAGACCTGTTTGGTAAAAATCAAAGCCAGCGTTTCACCGGAAGAACCTGATACCAACTGTAAAGCATGGTGGTGGAAATGTTCTGTTTTACTGTATCAGGGCCTGAGCAGCTCACTATCATAGAAACCACTATGAATTTTTCATTGTACTAGAGGGTACTTGAGGATAATGTGAGACCATTGGTCAGAAGTCTCAAGCCCAACTGAAATTGGACCTTGCAATATGACAATGACCTTGAACATTTCAGCAAATCCACCAAGGAATGGCTGGGAAAAAAAAGAAATGGAGGGTTCTGGAATGGCCAAGTCAAATCCTGGGTCTAAATCCCATTGAGACGCTGTGGGGTGATTTGGAATGGTCTGTGCATGAAAGAAACCCCTCAAACATCACATAGCTGAAAGAATTCTGCATGAAAGAGTAGGGAAAAAAATCCTCCCAGTCGATATCAGAGACTGGTAGACAGTTATAAGAAATGCCTACTTGAGGTTATTTCTGCCAAAGGGGAGACAAAGGGTGTACTTACTTTTCCCACAGAAGGAACTGGCATATCTGTTAATGTTTTTCTTGAATAAATGATTGCAAGATCAATTTTTCATAGCTTTTTTGTTCAACTACATCACCTTTATATACTGTTTGAATGAAGATAAAATATTCATATGTCCACATATAGTAAAAAAGAAAAAAAACCTACTTACTTTTTCATATGACTGTAAATATATGGCTGAAGGAAAATGATCCCTCTTCTGTTCTCGTGTGTAGCTCCAAAGTGGAATGCCTTCATAATAAATCTAATGTCTACAGGAGTGGGCAGCTTACAAGCAACATAAATTAATTAAACAATTGAATTTAAACTCAATGGGTGTGTGATACTTCTGTGTCATTTTAGTTGACCCTAATAAGAGTGTGGAAAGAGATTTTTTATAATGGTTTCTTTCTTTCCTTCCTCAGCAAATCCTGTGCACTGAACTTACATTAACTCGTTTTCTGATTTGTTAATTTATTGTAATAAAAATCAGGTTTAGAGTAATATTAAATCATGCGCTTGCACTGTTGCTTTGCTTTCTTTCCAGCAAAGTAGAGTTGTTTTGTCTGCAAACACGCCTGCAGAGACAGCCAGAAGTAGGTTCCAAGGCATCCATGCATGCCTTGTGAAAGAGGTGACAATTCAGAAAGAAATACTTCATTTATGTTTGTTTACATTAAAAGCATCTCTTTCAAAGGATTTGCACAGCCATAATGTTTAGCATCAATGGAATTTAGACACTATTTAAAATAGGATAGCTTTATGATTTTTCTTATCCCTGTATTTGTATGGGTAGTGGCCAACACAGAAGAAGGTACCTGGATAGAAGACCTCAAAACTTACCAGAAAATCCTGCTTTGTATATTTTGTATTAAATTCTGTCTGTCCACACAACCTTTTCCCTGGTGGGTACAGGTTCTACAGCTTACTGCTCTCCTGTTATCAGTAAAGCCAGAGTTTTAAGTTGAGCAACAGGCTTAAAAAACCTATGGAGATGAATGAATAAGACATGAATTCTGAAAACTTTTTTTTAGTACAAATACTGCTCTACCTAACTATGTGAATGTTGTAGTCCGTGAACTATCTTAACTTACTATTCTAGGGCAATGTGTTTATGTACTATGGATTGTCCAACTTTTACCAAAACCACCGCCGATATGTAAAGTCTCGGGATGATAGCCAGCTAAATGGAAATAACGCTTCTTTGTATGTAAGTAAAATTTTTTGCATGTGTCAATCATGATTTTCCAAAAATATTAAAGTAAAATGTGTTTTTAAATATGGATATTTCATGGGCTTCTGTGTGTGTGTGTGAGAGAGAGAGAGAGAGAGATTTCTACACTGTCTTCTCATATCCTTCCCTCTGTTCTAAATATTTATTTTATTGATTTTTTTATTTGTTCTTCTATCATATAGTGTGTGTGTGTGTGCATCATATAGTGCTCAAATTATACATCTAAGTAGGTTCTTCATTACTGTAAACCCAATAATGAATTGTGAATCGAATAGAGCTCAATAGCAGCCCCTCTTACTGAACCCCTCTGGAGAAGTTTTGGACCCCCTTAATTTCACATGAATTGTAACAGGCTTTTGAAAGGAACCAAAGCCTAAAATCAGACAATGTCTCCAATTTTTCCAACTCTACAAAGACAGTTTATGAAGAGGCAGAGAACTGCTGGAAACATCAGGTTCCACTCACAACCCAGTCTTGTGTGTTAATTTTACAACTGAGGAAGCTTTTAAGACAGCCAAGTTACCAGATACAGGTAGTTCTCACTGACTGACTGTGATTGGGACTGGCAACTCCATCACTAAGCGACGCAGTCATGAAGTGAAAAATCAATTAACTGTGACTGACTTACGACGGCAGTTTCAGTTCTAGCAGGGATCGTTGTGCAAATTGCTGTGGGCTGTTAAGTGGAACATCACATGACCATGACTTGCAACTTCCTGCCAACTTCCCCATTGACTTTGCTTGTTGGAAACTGGCTGTGTAGGTCACAAATGGTGATCACATGCCTGTGGGGACGTTGCAACTGCCGCAACTTCGAAGACTGGTCATAAGTCTCCTTATTCAGCACCATCCTAACTTCAAACAGTTGCTGAATGAATAGTTGGTAAGCGAGGACTACCTGTACTATTTTTGTAGGAACAGTAACCATCCAGTACTTGGGTGTACTTCCTTAGAATCCATTTTTGTTTTGAAAAACAGTCTAGTTACAAGTTAGTCTTCAGGAATGCTTGAACTTAATTCTTACTACCATGAACTAATGTGGATTGTAATTATAAGTTGTCATTTATTTGGGGCATTAGAAGAAAGCTAAGTGCCTGATCTTTTATAAAAAGGTTAATGAAAGTTTTTATAAAAGTGTTCACAATGTTTTAAAGATTCCCTCAGTTGTACCCAGTGATGTCCATCCATTGGTGGAACTACATCCACCAACAGAATATAATTCTCTTCCTCCTACACATCCTAGATACACTCTGGAAAATGTTGGGATCTTCCAGAGAAGGTCTGGGATATGCATAAAAGGATGCAGTAAGTGGAAGAAGCCTTGCTGAGGAAGAGAAGTCTGTTAGTATAAAATTGAACGTAGCTTGAAATGGATTATTTTATTTCTGTGTACTGTCTATGTTTCAAACATTTTGTTTGTCAAATCACTTAACTTTTGTTTTATCACAAGGGATGTGAATGTTCAATTAAATAAATTCCTATTAGAGGAGACAGAAATACTGTTTCTTATTATGGATGTATGTTCTAATACAGATATCCTTCATTATTAGTAATGGATTGCTGCAGCAGAAAATACTTTGGGAAGAGGAATTTTTTTTCCTGGAATTTAATCAAAAGTAGTTCTATGTATCATAGTAAGAGCAAGAATTAAGTTGCACTAGTTATCAATTTAAAAATTAATATTATGAACAGTGAAAACCAATGCATTTGCATAATGTCATCCTGTAGTGTAGGATGAAGCCAGTAAAACACTTCTGTTCCAGGCTTACTGTAAGAAATTATTGTAAAACAACCATTACCCACTGATCAGTGGCAAAATGTAGATTTAGTGACAATCCCTATGAAGCTCAGAATATCCAGGGTTATTCTTTTCCAATCTGTCTTATTCCATCTTTTTAAATAGTTTTATTCCTAATCACATATTAGAAACATATTAATTCTCCTGTTCAGTACTTTTTACTTACACTGTATTTGGTTGTAACAGGCCTTTGAATCTTGAAGACCTTGTTCCTCTAACATGTTTTTTCATGGATGACTAAGTCTGTAAATGGATCAACTGGATGGGTTTAGATGTTCTAACATAAGCCAACTGACTGGATGGAGTTAATACTGTATAATCCTGTGTATGGCCAAGTCTGTTTGGGGATAAATGTAACTCACTCCCTCTCTCTTAAACTAAATCAATTCATCCCTGTTAGTGTTCCAACAACTCTTCTCCATTGGCTCAGTTAAGCATGTTGTGGGAATAGGTTCATAGAAAGGATATGCTTTGTATAAATTCTGTCTCGTAACATGATTACAAGAAGTATTCTTGCCCCTTACCCAGACTTAATGTGGTGATTTAAATTCTGAGTAGCTTTCCTTTCATGATACCAAAATTGACTTTCTTTTTTTAATCACTCAGAAACCTAGTAAGGAGTGTGAACCTTACCATACAAGTGAGAATAAACCTATTGCTCCTTGTGGAGCTATTGCCAACAGCATGTTCAATGGTATGTTATTTTTTAAAATATATTTTGACACAGCATTGTACTTCCAAATTGTGTTATGTTTCAATAAAAACAATAGGATGAGCATGAAATCCATACAGCTCCTCCCTATACCATCACTATGCTCATTCAATGCAGAGGGTGTTAAGCTAGACAGGCCAGTTGCCAGACTTGGTATAAGACAGCTCCCAATATCCATCCTTATAACTGGTAAGCTAATTTCATCAAACTGAAGGCTGATGGAACCACCCCCTCCCTCAATGAAGCCAGTATTACTGTCTGGGTCAACACAGGTCACTTTCCAGAAGGCCTGTCCACTTCCTTAGGAGTTACAGTTCCAAACTCGTCCCAAGAAATCACGCAAAATCATGCCTCTGTTACCTCAATAGGCTTTGCCCAGTCAGAGTCCATCTCCCAGTGAATCTATGCAATTTTATCTGCCAGATGCCTAGAGTATTGATGTTGGTTTAGTACCTAACGCATCTAGGTTTATGTGATTTTATAGCAGCTGAATTCATGTGTAGGGAGGACTAATAGACTTGCAGTTCATATTTATTTGAGATTTTAAACTTGTGTCACTAAGAAGGGAAAAACAGACCACTAGGTTTTCACATTTCTGTATATTCTGTGCTTTGATGATTTGTTTCAGTAGGTGCAATATGCCTTATGACACAGTTTACAGAATCAGTTGGAAATATATTACCATTTCATTTCACAACCAATGTACTTACACTCTTGAATAAAACAGAACTGTATAAAACATGAACAAAACTTTGACAGTGATTAGATTTTAATTATTTTTCCTTTTAGATACATTGACACTTTCTCATTTTGACCACAATACATCTAAGTCCATAACTATTCCTCTGATTAAAAAAGGCATTGCTTGGTGGACAGACAAAAATGTTAAGTTCAGGAATCCTACTGGTGATACAGATAATCTGACAATACTTTTTCAAGGTAAAAATGTAATCAATAGCTAATTGTTCATATTTTACCATGCAATGTTTCTCATTTGGAACTTCTTGGAATGGTGTCATTAAAATGGCTGAAATTAATTTTGTTTTCATTGTGTTTTTATGATCTTAAAGTGCAAGTAGGTAAAAAAGTATGTGTGACTAGATATACGTTCTGTGAAACTTTGGGGGGGTTGCTTTACTATTGAGACAATACAGTAATTTAAACTTTCTTCTTGGACTGCCGTATGCATTCCTCTTTCTCCACATTCTCAATTCTATTTCATAACTCTTTCTTCAGTCTGTTATTTTCAGTAGGTAATTACAGAACTGTCAACAATAGTTTTTGATGGAAGGAGTAAAATGGACTTGGCCAGGCATGTCTGCTACATAAAATTGCAGAAGATGACCCCAAAGGAGGGCAGGAATAAACATGCATAATATCCAGATATTGAACTATAACACCTAGTAGCCCTCACTACTGGCTGTAAGAGGTTGGAGCTGATAAAAATGGTAGTTTAGTAAAACTCTAGGGTGCCCTCTGGCTTTGTGAAAGAAGTTACTCTATTTACTGCATTGCTTTTTCTGTTCTAAAATATGATATTATATTGGAAAGAAGACTTGTCACACATGATTTGGATGAGGATAATTTGAAAAATGTTTATAGTAAAATTCGGAAACATCTTTTTCTGATGCATGCTTTAGAAGATAAATTATTTTGACTAATTTCAAGGTTTGCATTTTTTTTGAAGGCACATCAAAACCTGTCAATTGGCGCAAACCAGTGTATATGTTAGATTCAGATCCAGACAACAATGGATTTATCAATGAAGACTTTATTGTATGGATGCGTACTGCAGCACTGCCTACATTCCGTAAGCTGTATCGTCTTATAGAGAGGCAAGATAGCTTACATCCTACTCTGCCAGCTGGAAAGTATTCTTTGGAAATACAATATAGTATCCTTTATTGAAAGTTATAAGGGATGGGAGTTGATAACTTTGCATAATTGATGTCATTAAATAGGCAACCCTTGGCAAAGCAGAACTTGCAGGGTAATCATACAATACGGTTCTTTTAAAGGTGTGACCCAGAACCAAACCAAATTTACAAAACCACTATAGTAGGGTGCCCCACATTTATGTTGATGTACAATTGGTATTTGAAGTTAAATATTCTTCCGTATTTTCAGTCTTAATGCTATCAACAGCACCCTTACTTTCCCAATGCCTTCTACAGAAATGTGTAGATGGTGCTCTCGCACTAAACTGCAGGTCTCACCGTAGGACAGATGGGCTTATTGGATTTATGTATCATTCACCTAAAGGGACAGAGTGAGTGGGAAAAGACTATAGGACCACATGGTAGTATTTGCCCAAATGTGGTATTTTTCATCCTAGTAACGTTTGGCTGTGTGGCATGGAAACAGTTTAGATAACTCTCTGATTTTAGAATCATGCATATTTCCAACCAAGGAAAATCTGTATATATAGAAGACTGCAATGACATTTTTTCATTAATGTGTGAATAAAGTCATAATGCTGGGGAAAGCCATAGGTCATTTGGGTAGGTGTGTGTAGTGGTACACTCCTTTGTATATTAGTATTGCAAAAGGCAAATGGTGCAGAAGTAGTGTTTAGAAGCTAATCCTTAGTTCAAGGACCAACTCCATATTGTGTTAGAAGCCAGTCGAGATTTTCTTTAGTTAAAATGTTTAAGACTGGATGTTGCTCATTCATAAGGAAATTCTCTAGCCCCTCTGTCCTAAAATCTCAAAATAAATGCTAAGCTTCATTAGATTTAAATTCAGTGATTGCTGTCTTAACTCGGATATAGCTACATAATGGAAACAATCCTTGTTTGTTACTTCACTTTTTTTAAACTTCTGCAACCAGTAGACTCGGCTTTGCTTTTTAAAAAATAAATCATTATTTGGCCCACAATATTTTATGGAGCAGAATAGCTTAATAATAAATGGATTGGCTGTACCATTTTTATTACTAATCTTTTTTCTTTAGGCTCATGCAATGTTTAATATCATGCAACTTCAATATTTCTGAATGCTTTTCCTACACATACATCAGATTATCCTGTGCATAGCTTTGATGGACGGAAACGGATGATCTTGAGCACCATTTCATGGATGGGAGGCAAAAATCCATTTCTGGGAATAGCGTATATAACGGTTGGCTCCATTTGTTTTTTTCTTGGAGTAGTGCTGCTTATCATTCATCACAAATATGGAAACCGGAACAATAGTGCAGATATTCCCAATTAATCTAAGTGCTCCAAATCACATGTACTGCATGTGCATCAAGGCGAGTCCAGAGTGGACACAGCTTTTGAAAGCTATATCCCTGATAGTTGCTTCTGAGACAGAATACATAAGTATATTTGAAGCCTTCATTTCCCTCACAGTGGATTAACTTGAAGATAGCAGCCATAAAACAGTGCTGACAAGGGCATTTTTGAGGTTTGCCTCTTGCTGGACAGGTGCCATGATGCGCATATAGTCTTTCCTCACCCAATGCATCTGCTGCTTGTTTCTATGCTTTATATGTCAATACTGTATAGCAAGAATGTATTTAGAATAGCTTCTTAATGTTTTAAGGACATACGGTGTGCTGATTCTTAGAAGGAAAAGAAGCCTATCTATGTTTTGTCATCCATAGTATTTCACACATGAGCTTTGTAATTCGTGTACAGTTCAATGCAGATTAAGCCCAACTTCCTGCTTGAAGTTCACAGTAAGTTCCAATAAGTGTGTTTTGACATGTGAACGAGTCAACTACAAGCTTACTTTTTGCCCAGTGACATGAAAGCTGCTTTCCACATAGAAGTAACTATGACACTGAAAATTCTTCCATTAAGTTCTGCTCAACTATCCATCTTATGTTCAGCACCCTGTGTGGTTGAAATCGCTGAGCCTATTACAATAGAAGTAGAGATTTGGGTGCCCAAATCAGGCACAACCACGTCAGTAAATAAAGTTCATTTCTTTCACTTAAAAAAAAAAAGCAAGGCTTTTAAGAATTTATTATAAGCCTGAAGCAGTCAACTTGTTTCAGAAGATGCTCCAGTTCCTTCATTCAAAGCTTTTGGGTTCCTCAAATGTTCCATAAAAAATATGCTAAAAGTTGCTGTGGTGGGATGTGGGAACTTTTGTATCTTGTACACTTTAAGTCCAACCTGTCCAAATTGTAAGAAACCAGACCAGAGACTCTAAAAGTATGTGTGTGAGAATATAT